TACAAAGACACACTATAAAATATCAATTAGAATGGCTTAACTCAATCAAAAGACTTAGTTACACAAATGAACATACACTGAACGAATAAATTTGATATATAATACAATGCAATACAAAGTTCATAAAAATAAGGGATGAATAATTAAAGTAAAAGTATTATGCCGCTGTGAAATGCTAAACAACCCCAGAAAAACATCAACTTTGAAAAAAAATTACGCCATTTGCATTATCAAACTTTTACACAGGTAAAAGAAAATAATTTTGTTGGTTAGTATACTTCTACTTCTGTCTGTATAACCTATCGTTTAGGAACACCAAGAAACTTCTTGTATATCAATAAAACTATTCTAAAACTTGGTACATGTACAATTTTATTGCATGTTTTAATATGTGTGTCGAAAGTAGCTAATGAAGCTTATATGTATGTTGACACTAACCTGAATGAATTATCAGACAGAGTGCTGGTAAATACAAGAGTCACGGTGGCTTTAATTTTAAGAGACAACATATAGTAAAATACCGAGGGCACGACAAACAGTTTTGGTGAATTCAAATCAGCAACTGCTCATTGCGAGTGGTGATAGATTTATAGTTGATTCCATCAACCATTGAATAAAATTTTCAATGAACTCAACTATTACACGACTTAATTGTTTATCATTCCAAATCTCATTCTCTGTACATTCTGCTTTGCCCGGTCTTACAAATTCGTACGATTTACTCCTGGCAAATCAATATGAAATCGTATGTTTCATTATTGCAAGTGTTTGGAATGTTCAGTTTTGAACTTTGACCTTGCTTTAATGATAATTCAACTGTTCGAATTATTAACGACCGTGCCAGTCAGAACGTACAGATAATAAGATTTCGAATGATACAATAAAGTCCTGTATTTGGTTGGGGCACACACGTCCTTAACTAAGAGGATTTTTGAAAAATCTCACTCGCCTATTAGAGTTACGATACAAATAAACTTATATCAAAAGGACAACAAACTTTATAAATATCAAATGAAAAATTTGGATAAAATTGTAAAACAAGGAAGTAAGATCTGATCTGATATGGATTAGCCAAGGAATTTTTTTAAAATAATTTTTTTTCGAACGATTATTAATATGCCGTTATTTTATTCTGTTGTGAATATTTGTTTGTAAAAGAGAAAATGTGAATATTCATATTGAATATAAATATTTGGTGCATTTTCAGCCTTATTTTTTTCCTATTTTATGCACAGCGTGGACAAAATTGAAAACTTTTCAATATATATACATATATATAATTCGTCTAAACATCAGCCCAACAATGTTAAATCTATAAATTTGCGTTAGCAACTTTTTTGTTCTTCCCTCGCCGGGATTCGAACTTATGCTACTGAGATATCGTGGCACCAAATCGCATTGCACTAGCGCTAGACCACTCGACTACCTAGGCTCTTAAAATAGAGCTTTAGGTGGCCGGGTGTTACCTTTCCTCGTCAGTTTTAATCTAGCGTCGTAACACAGTACATGATATATAAGGCATGAAGATGGAATAGTTACAGATCAGCTGAATTATCTATTGTAAAGGATCCTACAAATTAATGTAAGATGCAGTCACAGAAATAATTATATTATAAGTACGTCTGAACCAGTAAAGACTCTACAACAGATTTTATCCATCGGATCACCAGCAGTGATGGTGACACAAGGCTGAAAATACATTCTGTATATATAATTCGTCTAAACATCAGCCCAACAATGTTAGATCTGTAAATTTGCGTTAGCAATTTTTTTGTTCTTCCCTCGCCGGGATCCGAACTCATGCTACTGAGATATCGTGGCACCAAATCGCATTGCACTATATATATAAGTGCCTCAGAATTTAACTTTAACACACTAATGAGTTTTATAAAAATAGTTGTTATATTTTATATATTCACGCAATATTTCGCTTCACAAATTAGCTTCATCAGGCGCGTGCAGCCAACCAAGTACAAAATCAATCAAAACAAATAGTTTTTTACTTAAATAGAATGAAGTTCAGGATTTATTCCTTTGGTTTTGGGTAAAACTGTTTTTCATCTCTCTCATTCAGTCCACCAGGTTCTAGAGTACGTAGCTGATGCATCCAGAATCTCTCTCTCTGTCTCTGTTTTCTACTTTGGGAGTCCCAATTTTGGTTTACCTCTATTATTTGAAAGGTGATATTTTCAAAAGTATGTCCTGTTCTTAAGGTGTATCGTGATTGGACAGTTTTTTTTTATATAAAAATACCGGTGATTGTTAAGTCTGATGTTGAATTTAGTTTCTGTTTCGTCATCATACTGCAGCTTGCAAGTTCCACAAGTAAGAATATAAATACTATTATCCGTTTTACAATTAGATGTAACATAGCTGTTGTATCGCTGCTTTGCTACTGTGCTACTGAAAGAGTGGTCAGTGTTGGCGACTTTACAGCACTTATTAAGGTCAAAGTTGTTATTCTTCTTTCAATGACAGAAGAGTTACACCACTCATTATAAAAAGTACACAGACACAGAAAAATACTTTTTTTGCGCCTGGCTCAAGTCAGGAGCCTCTGGCCTTTGTAAGTCTTGTATGTTTATTAATTTTAGTTCATTTATATGTTTCGAAGTTTAGTATGACGTCCATTTTCAGACATTTTTATTAAGGGGCCAGCTGCGGCCCACCTCCGGGTGCTTGATTTTCTCGCTGCGTTGAAGACACATTGGTGGCCATCGGCTGTTATCTGCTCGTTGGTCTGGTTGTTGTTTCTTTGACATATCCCCTATTTCCATTCTCAATTTTATTAGATATAGGAAGATGTGGTATGAGTGCCAATGAGACAACTCTCCATCCAAGTCACAATTTATAAAAGTAAACCATTATAGGTCAAGTTACGGTCTTCAACACGGAGCCTTGGATCACACCGAACAGCAAGCTATAAAGGGCCCCAAAAAATGACTAGTGTAAAACCATTCAAACGGGAAAACCAACGGTCTAATCTATATAAAAAAACGAGAAACGAGAAACACTTATGAACCACATCAACGAACGACAACTACTGAACATCAGATTCCTGACTTAGGACAGGTGCAAACAATTGCGGCGGGTTTAAACGTTTAAATGGTACCAACCCTTCACCCTTATCTGAAACAATAGAGTAACATCACAACATACAAAGACACACTATAAAATATCAATTAGAATGGCTTAACTCAATCAAAAGACTTAGTTACACAAATGAACATACACTGAACGAATAAATTTGATATATAATACAATGCAATACAAAGTTCATAAAAATAAGGGATGAATAATTAAAGTAAAAGTATTATGCCGCTGTGAAATGCTAAACAACCCCAGAAAAACATCAACTTTGAAAAAAAATTACGCCATTTGCATTATCAAAATTTTACACAGGTAAAAGAAAATAATTTTGTTGGTTAGTATACTTCTACTTCTGTCTGTATAACCTATCGTTTAGGAACACCAAGAAACTTCTTGTATATCAATAAAACTATTCTAAAACTTGGTACATGTACAATTTTATTGCATGTTTTAATATGTGTGTCGAAAGTAGCTAATGAAGCTTATACGTATGTTGACACTAACCTGAATGAATTATCAGACAGAGTGCTGGTAAATACAAGAGTCACGGTGGCTTTAATTTTAAGAGACAACATATAGTAAAATACCGAGGGCACGACAAACAGTTTTGGTGAATTCAAATCAGCAACTGCTCATTGCGAGTGGTGATAGATTTATAGTTGATTCCATCAACCATTGAATAAAATTTTCAATGAACTCAACTATTACACGACTTAATTGTTTATCATTCCAAATCTCATTCTCTGTACATTCTGCTTTGCCCGGTCTTACAAATTCGTACGATTTACTCCTGGCAAATCAATATGAAATCGTATGTTTCATTATTGCAAGTGTTTGGAATGTTCAGTTTTGAACTTTGACCTTGCTTTAATGATAATTCAACTGTTCGAATTATTAACGACCGTGCCAGTCAGAACGTACAGATAATAAGATTTCGAATGATACAATAAAGTCCTGTATTTGGTTGGGGCACACACGTCCTTAACTAAGAGGATTTTTGAAAAATCTCACTCGCCTATTAGAGTTACGATACAAATAAACTTATATCAAAAGGACAACAAACTTTATAAATATCAAATGAAAAATTTGGATAAAATTGTAAAACAAGGAAGTAAGACAATCCAGTTTTTTGCAGAATGTATAATGTAAGGCGAATGTTTATTAACGTTACAACTTTTCTTTCAATAAACATGCTCAAGCTATGAGCTAATAGGCATCAGTTTATGATATATTTTTTTACTCCAAATGTAGGACAGTTTCAAGGGTTAAATATAATGCAATATATCAAAATTGACGCTTAAGGTAGTTCAAGGGTATACCGCCATCTTGAATTGTACAATCACAGTAAATAATCGGTCTAGTTCTTTGCCCAAATCTGCAAATTTGGAGACAGATTTGCAATTTATTGGTTACACTGTTTATTTATATAAAGAAAACTTAGTTATTCATTGCATTATCGAAAATGTTTTAACAAATACCAAATATTTGTGCTTTAAGAATTAATTTTTCAAATAAGCCATTCAAGGGGAGATAACTCTCTTAGTACAAAATTTATACTGGACATATAGGGAAATTTTCATTTTTTACTTGTAGCAAGAAAACAACTTCGATGACACCATTTTTTCTTTTTATTTTCTTAAAGCATATTATAAAACCTATCTTCTCATATTTTATTTCAAAATTCTGTCTCATAGATTTCTTTATATGCACACAAATGTGTTTTTTCATGAACAATCTAAGCAAATTTTGGCAATTTTGAACAACTCGTACCTTGAAAAATAGTGCGATGACCCATACTTTTTATCATTTTTTTTAAAAAAGCATAGTGAAATCTTCATTTTGGCAAAGTATAAGAATATTCTGTCATTTTTTTTCTATACCCCTGAACTACCTTAAGCAGCTTGACTTACGATCTGGCTAATACTTCATCACTGTCACTGGGACATTGTTTATCTACAATTATAGAAACACACCATATATACATTCCATATATACATTCTTGGTGAAAGCAGAATACGTCTAAATCGAATGAAATTCTTATTTCGACGAATATCATCTCAAATAAAATATTCACAATGAACCTTTAAATTGCAATGCACTTATTAATAAAATGATTAAGGAAAATATACTCTGCCAAAAAAAAAATACAAAATACAAAACGCATATTGGTTTAAAAAAAAATAATACATGTATTTTGAATTAAAATATATACAATTACCAATAAAGATATTAACTCGAAACGTTTTAGTTAAGAAGAGAATAGTCAATTCCGCCGAAATTGATGAAAACAAGTCAAATTTATCACAATAAGAGTTACTGCCGGTGCAATTATAATAAGTAGCGTGTATAACCACTTCTCGCTGTTAAGACTGCTACGTATCTCCTCGGCGTGGATGATATCAACGTTCTAATAATGTTGCTTAAAATTGCACGCCATTCTTGCTGCAACATTTTTCGGAGCAAGGACCTGAGAAGCGGGTTTGATGCTTGCGCACACGTTTATCCAGTAGGTCAAATAAATGCTCAACAGGATTCAATTGCGGTCATTTGGAAGGTCAAGGTAGCACATTCATGTTATTCTACTGGAGGTTGGCGATTGTTTAACAAGCTCTATGATGCCTTAGCATTGTTCTGCTTAATTTAATTTCTCTGTCGGTCAATAACATGCATAAGGTGGGGTTTAAGAGTTTCGTTTTTGAGCCATTAAACTACACAGGACATGTTTCAATTTTGTTTTACGGTCATCGGAGATAGCCGCTCACATCTTGATACTTCCTCCATCGAAGCTATCCACTGGTCGGACATACAAGAAGGCAAAACGTTCATTCAGTCGGCGGTATACACGCGTTTTCTAATCACTTATGTCAAACAAAAAACGTAACTCATCACTAAACCAGATTCTGCGTCAGTTGCTGAATGTCCAGCTTCTTAGTCAATTGCATCATTTGACACTATTCTGTCTGTCTAATGGCCTCACAACGGGTCTCCTGGATCTAATGCCTTATTGTCGCAGTCGATTGCAGACTGTTTGTGAGATGATTTTTCTCAATCCTGGTATCCCAACTTCCCAACTTCAATGAATGTTGCGGGAATGGTTCGATTCCGTAGATGAAACACTCGGATGTACCGATCCTTCTTCCTGAGCGGTCTTTAGAAAAGACAGGCTGCTAGAATCTGTTCCAAAGTTGCGAAATTGTGATCTTGTTAAATATTTACAGTTATTACTACTCCACTGTGGGAAACTCTAGCCTGTAGACGGCCAAAGACGATATTGAAAAAAACAGGGTCCAACCTTGGCGTGACCATGGTGACAGCATGTTAACGTTGTGGTGAAGTAAATCTTCAAAAAACTATGTCCTAAATATATGCGCAAAAGTGTAACAGTTGAGTTGATCACATAATTCGCGGCTTAAAATACTATACATGTGCCTGCACTTTTAGCAAGCCAATTCAAAAGAACGGACAAATATAGCTAAAACCTTACCTGTAAAAAATCGATGATTCAATTGACCGTTTCATTTTGTAAAATATGTGTTTTGCATTTTCAAAAATTCATCCGAGCTATGAGTTTCTGTTTTTGAACAGTATAACTTGTACTGTAAGTGCTCTTCCAAACAGTAGCTCGTTGAAATCGAAATATCTAAATTTAGAATTTTTTTTTTGCATTTTTCCAGAATATATAAAAGCAAAAAAGATAAACATTACTTTGAATTGACTAAATGGTGTTCATTAATACGCCTCTCCCCCCCCCCCCCAAAAAAAAACATGAAAAAAAAACAAAACAGAAAAAAAAAATACATAGATATAGACAAAATCAACGTACATAGTACAGGCAATATCAACATATATTTTTCATATGTTTTATATATTATAATACAAAATATCTGACGCCACAATGGAAAAGTGATGACGTCAAAAATTCAAGCGGGGCAGATTCTCTGGTCAACCGAGACCGATTTCCAAATAGCGATAAGGTGTATGCTTATGTTAATACATCACAGGTCAACTAGTGTAGCTCATTCATTCAGAAAAAATCGATTTGAACTCCGTAACATATAAAGGAACTAAAAAAATAAATACAAGACCAACAAGGGCCATAGGCTCCTGACTTGGGACAGGCGCAAATGACACAAAAAATGCCATCTCTACTCCTGAGAATTATTTTTCACTACCTAACTTTTGTGAATGAACTCTATCCCATCTGCCCCCTATTCCAAAGGCAACAACTGTCAAAACTTCTGAAAAAAATAATACTTAGATTTTATGAGTCCGCAGAACATTTTCTTGATTATCTGCAACTATTAGATACCTTCATAATGTTGCCTGGACCTAATAGAGAAAGAGACATGCAACTAAATTAATTTTTAATTCCATTTTCCCGCAGTTTTCACCTCTGAATACATTGCTATATTTTTAAAGCATTTCTCTGTTCAAACATTGGTTTACAATTTTCAGGATTTGAACATTTTTTATTCCTGATATTTTATCATCAATAATTTCTGTGTAGTTGGAAAGGAGACTTTTCATAAGGTGAAATAATATACATTGTTGTATTTTTGTTATGTTTCCAGAAAAAAACCTTTAAAATTCCATTTTATCAAAGAATCTTAGTTAATGATTTTTTTCATGAAATGTGGATTCATTCCGATCATGATGCACGACATATCAGAACGGGAGCAAATCAAGGATTTAATTTTAATTAGATTGGGTTCATTCTTTATTAAATTCATACATTTCCTGTATCTAAATATTCAAATAAAATGTACTTTTAAAAAAACATATTTGGAAGAAACATATATCAATTGTATTGTATTTTGATGAGTTTATACTACCAATTATTACTTCACTACAGATCAATTTAGCACTGATTTCACTGACGATTTAGTTATTGTTGAACATTTTTAGAAGTTTTTTAAAAGTCCCTTTAAGTCCCAGATCTGGCATGCAAGCAAAGTGAGCGATTTTTTTTTGGAACCGCACGGTTTTGAATATTTGGGGCCCGAAATATTTTCGTGTGTGATAAGGCAAGATTACTCATTTTCACTTAAATAGGAGCCAAAATAATCCAAAATCTGCCAGGCACCCCTTTCCCATCTCAGAATCAAATTGTTGTCTCCTTGGGACTTAGGACTCATAACTTGTATTTGAGAACTTACATTCTTATACCTACCTTTTTTATCTTGAATATAAGATAATTTTGTTTATTAAAATATTGTATATTAAGTTAAATAAGATAGCTTTGATGATTGATTTATTCAATATCTTACTTAATTGATAAGATAGCTCAATTAGTTTATATATAAGTTGAACATGGAACAAAAGGTCAATGTTGCAGTGTTTTATTGGAAGATGCAAGGAAATTGCGCATAATTGCAAGCAGTGCAACTAAATTGCCAATTAAAGACAAACTGATGCAACATCATTTATCCGGGAACATTTGCATCCCAAATTCACAGATAATAAATTCACGAGACATGGCTCTTAGCAAGAGTCTGTGACTAAAGAGCACATAGGGTCGCTATGAAGTATCTTTTTAGATACTGGCATATATGTCTCAATTGAAGAGCAATTGCTTTTTAGTAGTCCAGGTGGAATTTTAAAGGATGACACATTACTTGAAGTTTAATGTCCAGTTCGAACAAAACGGATTACACTTGAAGAACTGATAAATGGTGGGAAATATGCGTGTTATTAAAACCACAGAAAGACATTATCAAATAAAAGTCAAAGGAAGTAGGGGTTATTACATGTAAAAAGAAAAATACCAAAAATACCGAACGCCGACGAAAATTCGAAACGGAAAGTCTGTAATCAAACGTCAAAATGAAAAGCTCAAACACATCAAACGAATGGATAACAACTGTCATATTCCTGACTTGGTACAAGCATTTTCTTATGTAGAAAATGGTGAATTATACCTGGTTTTATAGCTAGCTGAACCTCTCACTTGTATTACAGTCGCATAAAATTCCATTATATTGACAACGTTGTGCGAACAAAACAAACAAACATAAAAGGTAAACATGTCAAAAATTAGAATACAGCAGTCACCATTATGTATAAGAACAGAGTCACGTCTTATGTAACAAAGAAACTCAAAAAGGCATATACACAAAGCACATAAATGCAAAAATTGACGATAAGCGTGTGGTATTACTATATATTTTCACTTCGTACTATGAACATCAAAATTTTTTTTTTTGTAAAAATATTTCCTTTCTCTATTGGAACTGTACACGTATACCTAACAACAAAATTATTTTCATTTACCTGTGTTTAAAGTTATTGCAAATGGCTGATATTTTTGTTCGAGCATATTGTTTTTCTTAAATTGTTTAACATTTCATACCGATATAACATGTTACTTTTATTATTCTTCCCTTAGTTTTTTTTTTTGTATTTACATTGTTTCATAGGTCAAATTTATTTGTTCAGTGTATGTTCACTGGTGTTAATTTGGGGCCCTTTATAGCTTACTGTTCGGTGTGAGCCACGGCTCCGTGATGAAGACCGTACTTTGACCTATAATGGTTTACTTTTATAAATTTTGACTTGGATGGAGAGTTGTCTCATTGGCACTCATACCACATCTTCTTATATCTACATAGCACAATAAGACAATGACGGGATGTATAAGTACAGAGCCATGTCAAATGGATATAACAAAAACCGACAAAAAAGTAAGAGTAATATTCATAAAGACAAAAAAAAAGTAAAAGCCCAAAAATTCCGAATTCCGAGGAAATTCAAAAAGGAAAGTTCCTCATCAAATGGCAAAATAAAAAGCTAAAACACATTAAACGAATGGATATCACCGGTCATATTCCCAACTTGGTACAGGCATTTTCTTACGTAAAGGTTTTCTTTGTCTACTTTCGGGTTCTTGTCTCGACAGTTTTCGTCTACCGGGTGTTGTCTGGCTGTCATAAACAAGATTTAATTTCGGATAAGGA